ATGCCCCATCAAAATATTCATTCATTCATAATATTAAAATACAATAATTCCGTGGCTACTAAATTAAAAGAATCTTTCGTTGCTTCTTTCTTCTCATGATTTCTTTTCACATAAAATAAAATGTTATCCCGTAGGGACCTCTGTGGCCCATTGGATAGCGGCTGTGAGTTATTGTCCTATATGGTTATGCTGATAGAGATTTTTTTTTTCTTTTAAAATGAATTTCATTCAGGCTCTATAATAATTGAGGTGATATTTAATTTTATGTCCCAATTCCAATGGATCGATGATTAACTATAGATTAATGGATAAGAATTGGGTAAAAGCTAAATCCGGTGAGTAATTTGAATGCTGTTGGAAATTGGATGAAATTAAATATATTTGATAATGAAACTAGTATGAGGGGGCCGGCGAAGTGTGTGTGCATGTAAAGGAAAGATGAAAGTATTAGATACGCATTATATATTTGTATGGTTAGTATGATTGGAAAAAAATATGAATTAAATTTAGTTAAGAAAGGGGATTGGAGTGAAAGCTGGAAAAACATATGGAAACAAATGTAAGGGATTATGAGATGAGTATAGCCCCAAAGGAAAGAGGACATGAAAAAGCAAACATGGGATGAGCACCCACGTACCATTGTCCCCTCCACCTCCTCAATATTCATAATTCATTCCTTTCTCAACCAAATTATCCATCTAAAGGTCTTTTTCATTCACTAATAATTTAATAACCTTCGGGGCGGGGTTATATATTTTTCTCTTGTTGGTGACATTAATATTATTGGAATTTAGCCACACACATGCGTATATGTGTAATTACATATGTACGTATAGATATGCTATGATTGAAAATAGAAAAAGTGCAAGGAGAAAAAAAAAATAGAAAGAGGATAAAATAGTGGTTGGAATAATATAGTAAAAGATAACAAACATATATAATAAACAAAAGATAATAGAGAGTAAGAAAGTAGACGAAGAGAAGGCAATGAAAGATGGGGGGAAGGAGACAAGGAGGTAATTAGGCGAGGGAGAGAAGGTTCGGCCCAACCCACTAAGGAAGTGTGGAAGCCCATGATTGTGACAACTCACGGCCCACCACTCTGCCAAACAGACGTGCCCCACAGCTAAAGATAGGCACGTGTGAGTGGAGAGTCACGTGTGGTCTGCTGGATTAAGAATTTAAGATTAAGATTAAGATCATATATATATAGAGAGAGAAATGGAATAGTGCGAAACAAAACGAGAGGCATCCGCGGGTGCAGACCATTATTCACCCAACATTCATACCCTCCCATCCCCCAACCTTGTATGTTAATGTCATACTCTCTCTCTCTCATTTGTATTTTATAGTACACAATCTCTCTCTCCCACACACACACAGTCAGAGAGGACATAATAAATTAATTAAAACGTCAAATCTGGACCGTTTAATAATCTATTGTCCCTGGCTAAAGCTACCTATATATACGTACACTTACAAGTTACAAGTCAGTCTCATATATATTTTTATATATATAATATGAGCTTCCCCCTTTCTTCGTTATCCAAAAAACTATTTCATTAATTTGTTTTCATCCCTTTTTCATTTTGTAACAAACTAAACTTTATTTGTTTCTCAACCATTACACATTTTTATTTTATTGACCTAATGGATGGTTAGCGGCCGGCCGGGGCCATTAAAACTTGGACTGACTTCAATTAAATTTAACAAATTCCAATTTCTTTCTCTAGCTACTATGTACAATTCAAAACTTAAACTGGGCATTATGCATTATGAGATGAATTAATTGATCAAAAAAATATATAGAAGCTAAGGTTAGTCGTGTACAATTACTAGTGGCAGTGGACATTAATTAAAACGAGGTCCTATCCTAAGTGCATTATGCATGTCTTAATATGTGGGGGGAGATTTCAACCATGATTTTTTTGTTAGTGAAGGGAGCCATCACCAAGGCCGATGATCCAGTCGATGTTAGCTTAAATGCAGCCTCCGATTTTGTTATGGAGCACCCCTTCGACGTTTTAGATCAGCATTGAGTTCTTGTCCTCAAGAGATCTGTCGGATCATTCACTTCTCCATCAATAGAATATGGTACTTCTTATTTTTTTATGTTCAAATAGAGTCAAAGGTTCGAGCTAGAAACAACTCATTTCGTTTTGTTCTCGTTCCTCATCCTCTTCTTCTTGAGTCCAAAGGCCTTGTTGTGATAGGGGGCATTTCAAGTCAAAGTTTTGTAGCCCCCCTCTTTTTAGGTTGGCACAACAAAGAAAGAAGGCCAGACTAGCAAGCGAGCGAAACGTCGACCTTGGTAAAGAAGGAGGCTACCCCTGATCTTGTCCTTGAGGCTCTCTAGCCGAGGAAGGAACTTGTTATCGTTAACCTTTTCTCACATATTGAAATCAAGGTGGTAGGCCAATATTGAACACTTCAACTTCGGCCAAAGAAGAAAGCGAGAAGATTGGGCAAAGACTAAATCCACTTACCGCTTATTGTCGTACATGCTATGATTTAAATTTTAATATCGAAGATGTATTCCTCATCAACTAAGTTGAAGTATGCTCAGGTTAACACGTGTCTAATGAGTGCGGAAGTGAAATTTAATTAATTAAATGGAGGAGAAAGGAAGGGAAGTAATAAAATATATAAATGTATTATTATGAATTAATTAATGAAGAGAGAAATGGGGGAGATGATGGGAGAGGGATTCTGTCCAGAAGAGAAAATTAAAGAGAATGTCGTCTGTAATCATCTTTCCCAACCCTCTCTTGTACTGATCCCGAATGTAATCATGTTTTATTATAAACTACAAACTCCCCACACCCTTTTCCTTTTCCTACTCCATTTCTTAATTAGTTAATATATATGCTATGCTTCCATATCTAATTAATCAATATTATATTACTGATTTAAACCGTCGTCCCTTCCCTTTCTATGATCTCTCTCCTCTTCTCTTCATGTGTTTTGATTCTTTTAATTTTGATATGTATAATATATTATATATAAATATATAGGTAGGCGTTGGTGGGTAGGTTCCTTGCTAATTAATCTAAACAGAAAGCGAGAGAGGAGAGATAAGAAGGATGCATGAGGGTTTAATTAAGTGGTGAAAATTTAATTAAATGTGTTAGGTTTAGGTTAACACAACGCCTCTGCCTCTGCCTCTGCCTCTGCCTCTGCGGGATTGGGCCCCCAATTTCTTCTTTCTTCTTCCGGCAGCTACCAAACCCACAGGACGCCTTTTTTCACTTAAAGTTTCCCATAAGATTCTTTTTTTCCCCCCTTTTTCTTTATTACTTGACAAATTATAACCCTTACATTCCTCTTTTAAGTTTTAATCCTCTCCTACATGATAAATCTAATATTATTAACACAATTAGCTAGCTTAATTAGTTCCATTGATTTTGATACATTATCTAATTGAACACAACTCCGCGCATGCCCTTCCAGTTACCTCAAAATTTCCAGCCACAAATTTAGCTACCTCATGCTGATCAGTCATTCACATGTGCATCTTGTTAATTAAAAAATTTGTGTGTGTAATTGCATTGCATCTAATGAATTATTGATTGGTTAATATTTTGCATATGGGGTATTTTTTTTTTCTTCTAAAGATTAAAGTACTCCTGATCATCCGCAGAGTCTTTGTTACAAGGATTGAAGTTTGACCATGCAATATTTCAAATCATTACAGCTTTCGGAATTTTGAATAGAATTAATCAATGCGTACAAATGGCATCATTTTTTTTTTCAGTAGTATTTGTCCTCTTTTGTCACCTTTCATCATTATGGTAATTCATCCCTAACCTTCCAAAACTACACACACACACACACATATGTTATATGCACATAGTACTTCATCAAAACCACATATATATATGTACCTTTATTTTCAATTTCTCTCTACAATTATTCTTTTATCGATTAATTATGTATAAGACCGGCAATGCATTTCATTAATTTGAAGAAAAAAGTTGTTAAAAAGAAGAAGAAGAAAATTAATTTGATATATATTATTAACTGCATTGCAGGGCAGCGACGTGGCAGGCTGGATGTTAATCGGAGAAAAAGGTAATTAGAAAGAGAGGAATTGGAAAAGGTTGTTTGTGGAAGAGTTAATCACGTGGGATGTGTAGAAAATAAATGAAAAATGAGAAAAGAGAAAAGAGAAATGTTTTTGGCGATGAAGAATTAATGGGAGGAAGAAGGGGGAAGGGGGAAGGTTAACTGCATTGCAGGGCAGCGACGTGGCAGGCTGGATGTTAATCGGAGAAAAAGGTAATTAGAAAGAGAGGAATTGGAAAAGGTTGTTTGTGGAAGAGTTAATCACGTGGGATGTGTAGAAAATAAATGAAAAATGAGAAAAGAGAAAAGAGAAATGTTTTTGGCGATGAAGAATTAATGGGAGGAAGAAGGGGGAAGGGGGAAGGGGGAAGGGGATGGGTGGATGAAAAAAGCGAAGAGAAGGTAAAGGAGCATGAGCATCTTCCATTTCCACAGGGAATTATGATTTCATTCACTATATCATGTCCTTGGAAGGTGACTTTACATCTTCAGTATATCACCTTTATAAAAGCTGTTTCTTTCCACACACATTTAATTAATCGGTTTCCACCGGCCAACAAGGCCATTTCGGTCAACTTTTTCTTTCGGAGAGAGATCCGAAGTGTAGCGTACGTGTATTGTTTTGGAGTTTGGCAGTGCGTAGTGTATTATGATCATGCAATTGCACACAACCATCATTTTACGCCCTTGTAATAAATTTTCTGTTTTTGTTTCTTTGTGGGTATGTCTTTCCCTTATGGACCTGGACCCCATCTCAGACGACTGGGATCAAGTTCCCAGTTTTTTTTTTTTTTCTCTTTCTTTTTAATTCTCAATTCCTCTCTCTCTCTCCTTTCCATCTAATCTAGAGCTTCACTCTTACAATATGACCTGCTGAGGATGAGGGTTGGAAGAAAACAACGAGATAGCCAGCCCCCTCCTGGCCTCCAAAATTAAAAAAGGGAAAAATGGAAAAAGAAAGCAAAAGCTGAATTTTTTTTTTTTAATTTTTTAGAAAGAGATATTTATAAAAGAAAGCTGAGGTAACCGAAAGTAATACCTTCCTAGCTCCTACCTCCTTTTCCTTCTCTCTCTATCTCTCCGTCTCAGCCCTCATCCCTCAACTCTCACTTCTCACTACACTCTACACAAACTTGTTCTCATTCAACATCCATCCATCAGGTTGGCGTTGGCGTTGGCGTTGGCGTTGGCCGCCGCTCACCAGCGCAAGCTAAGTCACGAAATTAAATAATTCCCATGATAGCCAATACCTCCCCATCGTCTCTTCCTTCCTCCGAACCTTTTTCTTGCTTAGAAAATGGAAACAGCAACGTTAGCAAGAGGAAGAGAAGACCCGCGGGAACCCCAGGTAGGATTTCTCAATAAATAATGTGTATGGTGTGGGTGTTTTTGTTTTGGGCTGGGTATGTATTAATTAAGCCAAGTGATCCATCCTGGGGCGGTACAGATCCGGATGCAGAGGTGGTGTCTCTGTCCCCAAAAACGCTGCTAGAATCGGATCGGTACGTGTGTGAGATCTGCAACCAGGGATTTCAGCGGGACCAGAACCTGCAGATGCACAGGAGGAGGCACAAGGTGCCGTGGAAGCTGCTCAAGAGGGAGACGCCGGTGGTGAGGAAGAGGGTTTTCGTGTGCCCGGAGCCCACGTGCTTGCACCACGACCCATGCCACGCCCTCGGGGATCTGGTTGGCATCAAGAAGCACTTCAGAAGGAAGCACAGCAACCACAAGCAATGGGTCTGTGAAAAATGCTCCAAGGGCTACGCCGTCCAATCCGATTACAAGGCCCATCTCAAAACCTGCGGCACCAGAGGCCACTCTTGCGATTGCGGCCGCGTTTTCTCAAGGTACTCTTCTCTCTCCTATTTCCACTAATTCATTCATTCATTCATTAATTCATTAATTACTCTCTCCACTTCTCTCCTCATCCCCTATACATATTACATATATATTTCCTATTTATAATACATCTACTTATATATATATATATATGCAAACCCTCTTTCAGATCTCCTTTCACTGCTCCGCCCTATGATTTTTTCCCGGAAAAAAAGAAAAATAATGGGCGACTGTTTCTGTGTTTTTGACCTAAAAAGGAAAAGAGAGAACAAACGATCGCTCCTTTGTAATTTGACACATTTCCCAAAGATCTGCCTTCGCCCTTGTGGTTTGTTTCAAATCCTTCTTTGGCCCCCAATTAAAACCCGCAGCTTCCGGTTTAAGATTATTTTAATTTAATGTCAACGTATGCGAAATGCGATAAATATTGAATAAATCCCCACACCAAATCCGAGTAATGATTAGCTTAGCTTTCAGCGCTAGCTACATTTAATTAATGATATATTATATATATACACCCCCACTTTTCATTTTCGAACTGAACTGGTCAACCATGTTTCAACTCAAACTATACATAATTTTACTGGTGTCTGAAATTAATTAATTGGGTTATAAATTCGATATGATGTTAATTATGCATAGTCTTAATTTGTTGATGTGATGATAGGGTGGAGAGCTTTATAGAGCACCAAGATGCTTGCAATATGGGGCATCTCCGGGCAGAATCCCAAAGCCTCCAAGCCGCCGCATGTTTGTCCCGAACAGCCTCCAGCCCCAGCCCCTCCAGCGATACCAACTTCAGCAGCGGCCCCAATTGGTCTGCCGCTCTCATACCGCCACCTCCCACTTTGAAGCACCCACCTCCAGCTGCCCCTACCCACGACTCCAACAACAGCATTATTATTAATAATAATAATAATAATAATAGTAATGCCTGCGCCTCACCCTTATATCACAATTTAGACCTCAAACTCTCGACTACATCATCAAACGCTGTCGACGCTTCCTCAAACAGATCATCGCCCAGTAAAGGGAATAACAACAACAATAAAGGTTCTTCAACCCAACTGCAACTTTCCATTGGTTCGTGTGACTTTAGTTGTTCTCCAGGAGAAGGGGAAGATAAGGCGGTGGCAGCGGACGTTAGAGAAGAAGCTCGGGAGCAGCTGAGGGTGGCGATGGCAGAGAAGGAGTACGCGGAGGAAGCAAGGCAGCAAGCGAAGCGTCAAATCGAAATGGCAGAGCAAGAGTTTGCGAATGCGAAGAGAATGCGGCAGCAGGCGGCGGCCGAGTTGGACAAGGCTACAGCTCTTAAACAAGCAGCAATCAAACAGATCAACTCAACCATTCTTGAGATCACTTGTCAAGCTTGCCGGAAGCAATTTCAAGCCACCGCAACGGCGGATCATCATGACAACTCCTTGGCATTCAGTTATGTGTCCTCCGTCATAACAACCGAAGGTGAAGTAGACAAACATCATTCAACCCTTATACCTAAGCCCACCAATAATTAACCCTACCCATCATTTCACATATATTCTATTCTATTACATTATATATATGGCTTATCCTTTTCTAATTTTTTTCCTTCCATTTTCTCGGTGATAAATAATCCCTTTTTTTTGTTGGGTATTTGTTTTTGTTTCTAGTCAATAATGAAAATATACAAAAAGAGTGCTGTGATATTCTAGGTAGCTCTCAAGTGGAGTAGTGGAAGATTGGAGTGTTGTATGTAGGTGTTGCAGTTTGTGCTTTAATTATTTGTAATTCTTTTCCCCATCCGCTAGTTTGCTGAATTAGTACTCATTATTATATTGCGGACATGGAATAGTTATTTAAAGTAATGAGGAAGTAAATAAAAAGAGAAAAATGGGGGGGGGAGGGATTGTGGGTATGTTTGTGAGTTTGGTGGTTAAGCGTAGGTTGGTCCGTGAAGAACGTGAGATGAGACTGTAGACTGTAGGGGTTTGGATTTAGCGTTTGGAGTTTATATGCAATATGCGCAAATGCAAATGCAAATGCAGTGTGTTGGTCATGTCACTCGAATTGAGGAGGTCTCTCTCAGCATTTATGAACGGCACTGACCAATATTTATAACTGAATATCATTACACATGATCAGTAACAAGAAGAGAGAGAGAGAGAGAGAGAGAGAGAGAGGGCAGAGGTGGTGGGTGATGGGAAGCAGCATGTTTTTCAGTGCCACTGTACTGTTACTGGTAAAAGGCTAAAAGAAAAAGGCGGGGTTGATGGCATTTTCACCATTCACTCGTCGCTCTCAACTCTCGATGACTCTCAACTAGCACTACCAGACACCATTCCTAATCACCACTTTCGTCTTTCTCTTTCCACATCCGAATCAGCGCCCCCTTCATTCGGATTTTGGAGCCCTTGCGCTAACCCAATTAAAAATCATTAATATATATAATTAACGCCAACCCCCAAATGCCCTGCCTCTAACCTCTGAACTGAAAAGATTCTTTTCTTTTTCCACAAAATTACTTTACTTTTGTCCAAATGTGTGCTATCCAGTTTGTCTTTTTCAATGCCATTTATATATGTTTATGTTTAGTCCACTCCTCTCGTCTTTGATCTTACGACCCCCCGGCCCCTTTTTTCTTCCTTTTTCTTCTCTTTTTACTTTAATTCAGCATTGATAATAGAAACCATTATATTCTCATTCTGCCCAAAAGCATCCATGCCCATGGACCTTTGAAACTTTATCAACTTTGCCAAAACTTCTCTCTCACCCACACGAGACCTTTTTGCATGTATTCTTCAATGAACAGCCCCGTGACCTTTTCATCCATTTTCTTGTTAAATTCCAAGGCACCGCTGCCACGAATTTTCCTTAAATCCATAAATTTTGTCACCCCAATAACAATAGCTATATAGGGCTACTCATCCGCCCGTGCTTATTCCATATTATAATATCATCATTTAATTTTGTGTTCCTCTCCTTTTGGGGTTGTAACTTGTAATTAAGCAGCAATCACACATTATTGCGCAATTTTACATGCCGTTGGAAGTAGACCCACGTGTTTCGTTTTTTTACTGGATCCGTCCATTAGGGTTTCGTGTTCATGGGCTGTACTGTGCAACCAATCTGTGGGCTTGGCCCAATAAAAATTTGGACACAAAACACAAACAGAGAGACAGTTAAGAGGTGTATCCATAAAAAGAGAGAGAATAGTTGTCAATTTTTCAAGTAAGCATTAAGTTTAATTGGCACCGCCTCTCAAATCCTTCTTCTGCAGCAGCATGCTCTTGTGTGAATTTTGCTCCGGTTCGGAAACCACTTATTCATCTTCATCATTTGCTCCCTCTTCTCCTTTCCAATTCTCACACCATATAAAAAAGAGTAAGAATTCATAATTATTGGGTTTCGGGGTTTTGTTTCCCTTTCTCCACTCACCCGTCCTGTCACCTTCTTCACAGTACCACCAACACCACACTCACCCACTCACTCAAACTTTCCTTTTTCTTTTCCTCTTTATTTCTACTTCATAAACTATCTAGGCCGCTACCCTTGGTTACATATGTTACTACTTCATTAGTTGCTCAATTACTGTTTCTGATCTTGGTATTAATTAGTTTATGTATTCGGATCTATTATGATATATAATCCAGCTTAATCATACAACCTTTGATTAGCTTAACCCCTATTTGGATCCCTTCAAATATTATATTCTAACTCCCATGCACTTAATTATATTAGAACAAAGAATATATTAAAGAAAATAAGTTATTTTCTCGGTTCAGTAGGGTTAAAATCAAGAAAATTATAATTTATTTTCTCGGTTGGGTTGAAATCCTATTCATGTATATGTCGTTGCACACTACAAAGCTAGTGATTCAATAGATGAATTAGAGTCTCACCCTAAGATCACTCAATTATATTTGTCACGGTATAAAACTTTAATCGAATTAAATCAGTATCGATGTACTCGCACACGTACGGCCGATCAAATTTGGTTTAACTTATGCAAAACTCTTTACTCTTCTCAACTTCATAGGTCACATAAGACTTTAGGTCCATATTGAGCCTCAGCCTTAAGATTACTTAACTCAACATGACATGAAATCTCGCTCTTGTTATTCAACACAACAACGATGCCTATGGATAACCCTAACGTTTTTTTTTTCCTGCTATGAAGTCGGTTCTCAACTAGTCAAATGATGCAGAAAAGGTCAGGTTAGCCTTTCAGCAAATCAATTCTATATCCTAGTTGCTCTTTATTAACACCAAGATTGTCTTTATGTGTCCACAAGATCTTCAACTTCAAAGAATTTGGCCCACCCCAACCAAAATTACACGATCACTATTACATTCACTTTCGTATATCAATAATAGACCATACAAAAAGAAAAAAAAAACACATATAAAAATAAAGTTATAAATAATCACTAACATACCACTTTTCATCCTATTGATATGATATATTAAAGATGCACATCTATTACTGAGAGTCCATCATATTATAATAGAAGTGTATCACTTATATGATGTTCCATTGATAGACCTGCAATATTGAGATATTTTAATATACTTCCGTATTTTTCTCATACAATTTTATTCCAATTGTGTTATATTTTAAATTTTTTTTAGCTTGTGCTAAATTTACTATTATTTTGGGTATAAAATTTTCCCCTATAATTTTATTCTTTATACCAAATTAAAAGATCATTTCTTTTATCGTGAATATTAACTTTTCCACTACAGCTATTYGAAGATAAACTATTTTGTGATTACTTATTTCCTTTACATTCTATACACAAATTAACTATTTTAGTGAAAATTATATTATAATATAAGATAAGATACATGAAATATATAATTATATATTCGCACAAGCATTATTATTCTTAAATATGAAAAGAAATATGTACGTTAGTAACTATTTATTACATTTTAAAACCACAATTTAAGTGAAGATTTAATATCTATAATTTATGAATTAAAATGAATTAATGTTAAATCAAATAAACAAGCCTATCTACACTACACAAGGGGATACTTTTAATGCTGGTAGCGTCCATCAATAGCACATATAATCATAAAAGTAAAACTGAACCCTCTGGAGAAGGGACGCGACAAAAGCACAAAAACGATTCAGCCACACGTTCAAGCATGCTTTTTCTGGGGTTGATGGTTTATGATAATCTGTCCCTAAATGAATTTGCTTTCTCGGCTTTATCAAAAAAAAAAAAAGGTTAAAAAATGCATAATCAGAAAGCTCTAAATATCAAAACAAAATTATGAACAAAAAATTACAACAGTCGAATCTGCAGATAAAAAGGCGCAGATGCAGATGGTACATGAAAGCATGACGTATTTGCTCATGAAGCAGCCTGGCACTTGTCCCTGACAGCCAAAGCCGCAGCTCTATACCATGCTGCTGCAGCCATCGCACCTGGATCTGGAACTGCTGCGAGGACCTCCCCGAATACATATGACGAACGGCCAGCCTACAAAAGCCATACAGTAATGGTAAGCATGGAAGAAAAGATCCACAATTTTCTACGATGTATATAGACAATAAAAGTAATTTCAATCAAATATCCATGATATCTGGTCAAGAATAATTATTTTGAATTTGATAAATTGAAATTACTATTTTCTAGTTGTGTCATAACATATGAATAAAATTATTAGTAAATTAGAATCTGTTTTTTCCTTTAAAAGCTTTAATCTAATCAATATGAATATTTTGTCAATATGTACATCAAAATTTTCCCAAAACCCTATAATTAATATTGACGGTAGCCTTCGTCTGTGAAGGAAAAGATGGTTCAGAGTTATACAAAGCAAAATTTTGTGCAGGTTCAGAGTTATACAAAGCAAAATTTTGTGCAACTTAACTAATCAAACCGATAGTTTTAGAAAAAACCAAATGTCGAGTAAACAAGAATATCTCATGATCCTCATTGACCTCATATTCTTATAATTATTTTTTTTATCCCTTTATCCACCAAAATCTCAAGAAGGTTGATTTCTGTAATGATAAGAATATTACTAATTTGTTACGATCGCCAGCAAGTCTCAGGCTTTCAGCTTGGTAGGATTGAGGAAAAGGATCAATTATTTGAAACGATCACCAGTTGGAACCCTACTCTATGTCCAAAATGATTCCCTTGTAATATATATAGAAAGCTAATTAGATACTTAAACGCAATGAGATTTGATACCAGAGCCTGCATGTTTTTTGTTGCTTCAGCCCCACTCGATGCTGCTTCAGATGAGTGAATAAAAGCAGTGGTGGGATTTTCACCAGCATCTAACCTCTGTATATCCAAGTAGAGACGAATGTTAAATCACGAGACAAAATTATGAGGACTATATCATTTCTTTACCTTCAAAAGAGCTTTATATACTGGATATAGGCATCGAGTAATGTTCGATAATCAAGAGCAACCCCAAAAATTTATAGAAACGTATTTTTACCTTTCTAAGAACTTCAGACGCGGGAATTAGGGCATCAAGTAATGTTCGATAACCAGCAGTAGCCCCACCATACTTGCTAATTGCAGCTATGGAAGCTTCTAATGCTTCAGCCCCTGATCGAAAAAGGCAACATTAGTCCAAAAAAGAATCAGATTACTACTAGGTGAAAATAACTTACATATCTGTGGGGTGATGTCATCCTGGCTGCTTGATTTCAATTTTGTATATGCTGCCTTGCAAAATATTGTATATCTGTTTAACGAGAAAAATGTAATGGATTGTAAAGCAATAATGAAGAGCCATAAAAAAGGAGAAAGGCAGGGGAAGTAATTACTACATGATCCCACTAGTTCCTCCCATAACCCTTCTAATGGATGATCCAATTTCATTCACTGTCTCGGCAGCATCGTTCAGTGGATAGCTGAGGACGGATAGCAACTAAGGTGAGAGTGATGATATAATTTTGGAATGAAAATGACCAGAATCCACAAACAAATATTTTGTTGATGAGATAAAGCTTAAATGAATAAAGAGAAAAGATATATGTAACATTTTCAATTATACTCAAAAGCTAAGCAGAAAATAGTAGACTCCAAACAGCAGTTCACATGAGAAAGCAAGAGATGATGGCAAACAAATCAACTAAGAAACTATTCACAGTTCTAGACAAATGTTGAACTTACTTGGAAGTTGCAATGCCCCTGCTCTAAGGTGGCTCTTGGCATGAGTTTTTAAAGTGTACTCAAAGATTACCTGTGTACCCTCTTACACAATCTTTGCTGTCTGCCAATGAACGGTTCATTCTACAATTTTCTCCCTTGTGGCCGATCCTATCTGAAGTACGTTTTTGAAGACTTGAACTATTAAACTCATTCATCTCCACCACCAATTGTTCTAATACTTTGAGCCATCTTGAGGTGAGGGCATGGCTCGAGTATAAGGACCATTTCCAACTACTTACATAAGAATTTGGTCGCTACTTAACAACATTGTTATTTAACATTCCAGGAATAACCTCTTTATAATAATATATCAATCTAGATGTTGACTACTAACTAATTAATATTGTTATTGATATTTTATAAATAACTTATTATTATTTATCATTCACCAATATTGTGCCAATTTGACCCACTTCCGGGCACAATTATTCATAGTAAATCTAATCCCTCAGTACACTACCACATCACTGTCACATGACATCCAAGCCACACCATCATAGCTCAGGCAGGAAGGCACTCCAACGGCCCGCCAGTGCTAATAGCCAGCCAAGATGCCTTAACTCAGATCATGGTAGTACTTAACTGTCCCAACAATTACCTCTGATCACATCACCACTGATGTGTTTCAGGTTAAGGATGCTGCTTTTGGCCTTTTAGATACATTTTATTTGTTGTCTATTGTGCAGCTTTTGCCAAGTAGTCTTCAGCTGTAAAGTGTCTGTGTTGTGCTGTTTTGGTTTGTATTGCCAGGTCTAGTGGGTGATTTTAAGTTCTAGCTGAAGGCTTTTGGCTTGATTAGTTCTTTAGATCAAGCAAATGGGCTGTGGCGTGTTTCTTGTATCTAATAGCTTGTTGCTTTTTCCATGCATGTCGCCGCAACTTCTTTGAAATTTTCATTTATATATATATATATATATATATATATATATATTGAATCTAACTTCCTTTGGTAGGCTTATACAGTTTTTTTTTTTAAGAAACAAACTTTTTATTGATATATGAAAAGGAAGAAAAAGTTTAAGGATACAAACTCCTATGGGAGCGAAAAAAGCCGCACGTAGAACCAAAATCCAAAAGATACAAGAGAAATAAAACAATGATGAACAAAACAACTACAGGAGTACAAAGGACTTAACCAAGAGAGAATCTTCAATCCAAGGAGAAGGGATTGGATTTGCTTCATCCAATTTTTTGGTACAAGAAATCTATCAATCATTTTGAAAAGCAATTAAAGACGGCTCCACAGAGATTAATGACCACTGCGGCCTTCATGAAAATATCACCATCAATGACCTTTCAATGATAATTAAACCAGTGACCTTTCACCTTCAAATGACACCATTTAATGTTAAGACCAATGGAAAAGAGGATGGCCAAGTGCCAAATTTGCATCCAAAGGCTTCTGCCACTGCTGCCAAATCTTGCCTTTCCACGTAGTTTCCCATTATTTCTGACGTATTATAATTTATATTTAGGTCTGAGGCTGCCTCAAAAATTTTGATTATGTTTTGAAGATTTTAGATGTTTGACCTTGGAAAAGAGGATTATATCACGTCATACTCAGGCACGAAGATGACGCCGTTTGAGATATTTTATGGTCGGCCCCGACCCACTATTTTAACATATCCAACCGAGTCTTCGCCCGTTTCCCCAGTTGATCAGCAGTTAAAGGATCGCGACTTGATGATTGAGACATTGCAGGCTCATTTACACACTGCCCAACAGCGTATGAGCGCATATGCCAATGCGAAGAGGCGTGAAATGGCATTAGAAATCAAGGATTGGGCGTACTTGAAGCTTAAATCTACCGTCAAGGTTCCTTGGATACTTATTTGAATGCAAAGCTACTCCCAGATTCGTTGGGCCTTTCCATGTCATTGAAAAAGTTGGGCCGCTGGCTTATAAACTAGCCCTCCCTAATTCAGCCTCGATCCACCCGGTTTTTCACATTTCCCAGTTGCAAAAGGCTGTCGGACACACCATCCCCCATCTTTCCCTTACCGAAGAACATGGTTCATGATGTAGGTTTCATAACCCAACCAACTAAAATCTTGGGGGTTCGGGCTGCTGATATTGAATCCGGCACTGAGGTACTGATCCGTTGGGAAGGCGCCAAAAAGGATGATGCCGCATGGAACAAAGAAATGTCATCACTATGCAATTCTGAAATTTCACCTTGAGGACAAGGTGATTCTTTTGGGGCAGGGTAATGATAGGCCTACGGTGAAAAATGTTTATTCGAGGAAAAAGGGCCTGCTAGCATGACAGAGAAAAAGGTAAAAAATGGTTCAAGAGAGGAGGACCACTGAACAGAAGTTAGGAGGGTAGTAGGGGTATTTTGTAAGCAGATATACTTATGAGTGGTGAGGTAGAAGGGGGTATCTTTTTAGCTGTTTTGACTAGGACCTTTGGGAGAGGAACGGGAGCTCTCTAATACTCCCTTAACCCCTTGAAATGACCTCTGGATATAAATAATAGAACAGAGTTTCTACCAGATTTTTGAAGATTAGTTGTCTTCTTTTGATTCTTTTTGTAATAGCTTACATCTTGGTGGTGCTCAAATCATATTGAATTCTTTAGTAATTATAGTCTCCTAATGATTGTAAATAATTGAAAGGCCTTTTTTTAATTATTTTTGGGGGTTCCCTTCACCCAACCTTTAGGCTGTTCTCCATTGAATATATTCTCAAAGTTTCTGATCAAAATTTAGGGAACTTAAATGTTTGTTGTAGGATTGAATCATTCATTTCTTCAAACAAGATACTAGTGTAAAGGAAACTGATGCCAGACTATCAAGTTCATATTTAAGTTCAATTTGACAAAAAATAAATAAATAAATAAAAATACAGAAGTTAATGTTGAATCTCATAGAGAGATATCCATTCCTATTTTATATATGAAAGACCTATACCTTTGAAATAATAAACATAATTTCATGGAAAATAATAAATGCTTTTAAGTTATCTCCTCGGTTCTTTATGCCCATGTTTCTATTCGACGGATCAATTGATCAAATTTTGCAGCAACATGACGCAACACAGCGAAAAGACAACGGAGAATTGAACAGAAATTCAGATAAACAAAAAGAAGGATAAGGAAGACGGGTACAGAGAGAAAACTAGAGAAAGAAAGGAAAAAGAAGAGCAAAGTCCAAGGTAAGATCCACTCAACATAAATGGCTGCAGAGTGAGAAGCAAATTGAAAATAGATCTCATTTCTAAAGTCTTAACCACGAACTAACATCTCTATACCAGAAAGGATGTTGGTCCTAACAAGCAATATCGATACAACCAGCATTTAACGATCAATCATCTGTGGGGGAAGGAAAACTATATGGATCGTTTGAAAAGGGTGAAAACCCCACCTTTTCATTATTTTAGTAGTTTCTTGTACTAAGACTCAGTTTTTTGTATAAATAGATATCAGTTGGTGAAGGAGAGCCAAAAAGGGAATTGCACTATAAGATCACAATAGTACAAATCAAGCAAGTTCAAATTGACGTGACATGAAACCTATTAGTCCAAGAACATCGTGGAGAACAACAAAAGTCACCAACTTATTCATAAAGGCCCAGTCCTAGCATAAGTTGACAAGAAAACCTTTTTTAAAGGAAAAAGTGAATGTTTCAGTAGAAAAAATCAGTGAAACTGCAAGCCATACTTACCATTTTATGTCCTCAAGAATAGCAGTTGCACCCCTAAACATCTGCAGGGAAAATATCAAGAATAAATACTTCAGAACACTTTTTACCATAAATAAATAAGATTTTTTTTATAAGAAACAAGATATGTATTGAAAAAGGAGAGCAAACAGCCTAAATAAATAAATAAGATATAGGTCACAATAATACCAACCGTCGACCCACAATCACCGTCACCCACTTTACTATCCCAGTCATTTAAAGTATCCTTTAGATTGATCACTGCATTGGCAGCTGCCTGAATTGCAGCCTCTAGAATAATGCCTTGTTGACTCAGTTGAAGGGGTCCACCTAATGTCTAATTAAAGAGTACAAATAACTTTGAAGTGTGTTAACTTTCAAAAAAATTTATATAAAAGAACTTTTTCTTTCAGTTTTAACATTGATTTAATAATAACCATACCTCCCCATTCTTTGTTGCAAGAGTTGGTGGTGGCACTGGAACAGGTATTTTGGCAGGTGGGTGACTGCCTACAGAAAAAGATAATACCTTATTCAGATATTTACCCATAGCTAAAAAACAATATCTAATCAAAGTATCATTTTTTTTAAACAAAACTTCTCATTGATTAATGAAAATCGAAAAAGTTCAAAGGATACAATCTCCCAAAGGGAAAGGAAAAAGGAAAATAGAGAACATGGGGAACTCAAGAAAAGAAATGTATCACTAGAACTGAAAAACAATCAAAAAAATAGAAGCAAAGTATATTTCACATTTGACCACAGACCATCAGCACCAATGGGCCAACAAGGAGCCTTGGTAGCAGCATCCAACCGTTGCAAGACTGTTTGATCTGATTTCATGATGGTAATTGAAAAACCTGACAAACATGCAGTTTCAGAGAATCTACAATAACATATATTAGAACAATCTCTCACTCGGGAAGTAGCAAACCTGCCATATCAAGAGAAGTCATAAATGACCCAGTGTACACTCTGTCAACAGCCAACCCATGCTCTAGCTGCAGTTTTGGAACTGCCTTCCCAGATGCAATCATTAACTCCATCATTGGGGTAGCACCTAACCTGAATTGGAAGGAAATTGAGGAAATGACATCATCAAAATTTTTATATCCTTGACAGTGCATAATCACAACAGATAATAGTATATTGCATATCAAAATAAGATGTGACATAGAGGCAGGTGATTAACATTATTTTTAGCTCTGCCCATATGGTAGTTTAAATTATATTAAATCTGATTTGTATTGACTTTATGGTGCAATTTGATGAGAAGGTTGGCACCCAAAGCTAAATTTGTTTTTTAAGAAAGAAGAATTAAGAAACACAAACACTTGCTTACAATTAACTAGGTGAAAAGTACAATGATCCACTCTAATCATCACATTTGAAGTTTACAGAATTTGTGAAGAAAAGCTCGCGGTTATGCCTCTTATCTTGAAAAGAGGTTTCAAATTACTAAAGATTATTAATTCAAAGCTCCGCCGTGCCCTTGACCAGAGTATGACAAGGCTTAATAGGATGTCGGTGGATTCAGATTATCTTGTTGACAAGTATCTACGGACCATCGAGAGCTTGCAACCATCCGCCTTTTTGGCAAGAACTATCAGATCTACAGCACCTCTGTCACGAAAACTGGATTTTAGGGAGAGATTTTAATGTCACCCGTTGGTTCCATGAAAAATCAAGTGGAGGCACACCTAGAAGTATGCGCCGCTTTAACTCCTTTATTACTTCTGCTAACTTGATAGATATCCCTCTTCAGAATGGACTGTATACATGGTCCAGTTTCCGTGAATCTGCCTCCCTTACTCTCAAAGGTGTCCAATAAGATCTTGGATAAATTTGGACCTATGGGAGTTAAGTGTCTATGTCGGCCCACATCTGATCACTATCCCCTCCTTTCTTTTGGTGCTGAAAAATGGGGGCCCTCCCTTTTTAGATTTGAAAACATGTGGCTAACACACCACAGTTTCTCCCCTCTCATCAAGTATTGGTGGAAGAACACACCTCTTCGTGGCTGGCCTGGGCATCGTTTCATTCAAAAATTGAAAACTCTCAAGGTTGTTATCAAAGAATGGAATCAGAATACATTTGGGTGTATCAAAACACAACAGAATCGGCTTCTCTTGGAACTGAACCTCTTGGACACTATGGAGGAAACAGGGGCATTCCTTGATGCACACTGTCTACAGAGATCCTCCATCAAATCCCAACTCCTCACATTGGCATCGAATGAAGAGATCCTTTGGAGGCAATAATGTAAAAGCAAATGGCTTAAGGAAGGTGATATTAACACACGGTTCTTTCACAGAACTGTAGCAGCAAGGAAGCAAAAATGTTCCATTAGGGAGATTCTCTCCCGACAAGGAACCAGCCTTTTCTCTGAAAGTGATATTGTTAATGAGTTTCTTTCTTTCTATTCAGATCTTTATACAAAGAAACAGGATGCAGAACTCTCCCTCAATCATTATCATGGGATCCGATTGACATCCATCAAAGAAAGAGGTTAGAAGAATGTGAGAGTCCTATTAGGAGTATAGGGGAATATTAGTTTGTTAGTATGAAGGGGTAGTATGGTAATTAGTTAGGTGGGAGTTGCTATAAATAAGGGTAGTAGGAAGAGGAGAAGGATATCTTGGATAATTGTATTTTGGTAAGGAACTTGAGAGAGTTCTTGGGAGAGAGATAGCATTCTCGAAAGGCTATCGGTTCTTGTTAGGTTCCTGTATTTGGGTACCTAACAAATTGGTATAAGAGCAAGTTCGTCCTGGAATCTTTCATTCGAGGCAGTTACGAGGATACGGAGATTATTGATAGGAATGGAGTTGCAGGAATTGTTGAGAGAAATGAAGGAACGTTCAAATGAAATGGTTCGAATAACGAAAGAAATGCAAAAGGGATTTACCGTTAGAGAGGAAAAAGAGAGATCAAGGAAGGAAGAAGCAACGGCGAAGAGCATTCGAAAGCAGGGACGAAGGATTGCTGGAAGACGGCGATCAGACCCGAGAATGTGGACTGGAGTGCGATGGAAATTCAACCGCGGAGGGAAAGTATTGTCATGTAGCTGTTCATCGAGAAGAGAGGAGAAATATTACCCTCAACTGAATATGAAGAAAAATATGAAGAAGCTAAGGAAGAGAGGAAGAAGGCAACACCGACCGCAGAAGTTCGAAAAGGGGGATGAAGAAGAAATTAAAGCCCGAAGAAATACAAACCCAGGACAAGGTGAACCGATGAATGTTGAGACGCAGGCCGAAATTCCGAAGGGAAGTCGACCATGGATGATTCCATGGAAAAAATCGAAAACTCGGCGGTGGAAGGAGTTCGAGTTCCAGAAGAGGGATAGAGGAGAAATCGGCGAGCAGAGAAGAAATGTTAAGAGGACGGAGAGCACAAGGTCAAAATCGCAGCGTGGCCGGCGGGTGAAAAAGCAGTCGACGAAGAAACATGGAACGAAGAAGCGGCAGAAGTGGAAATGGTGGCGACGGAGAGGAAGACTACACGAGGGAGGAGACAAGACTCCGGCGAATACAGGGTCGAAGTTTCAAGGCGACCGGCAAGGGGAGCAGTGGCAGACGAAGTGGCCGAAGGGGTGGAGGCGGCGACGGAAAGGTGAAGTGCAGGGGAGAGGAGAGTTCACGAGATGAAATTAGGGTTACAGGGAGATTTGGAAGAAAGAATCTATGTGGGTTGGAGTCAGGGCTAAACATATTAAAAAAAGGGCCCAATCAACTGGAAAGGGGCAACAGACTATTATGGATGATTGGGCCATGGGCTTGGGCAAAAGGAGTGTTGGTGGGTTTTTGGTTTGTTAATGAGAATGGAAGACATGATGTATTGGGCTGAGGATGTTGATGGACTTTTGCTTGCTAGTGGAAATGGACGAGCTGCAGTAATGGGTTGAGGTTATTTTTGGCCTTTTTTTTCTTTTCGATGTTTTTGTATGGGTAGTTAAAAAGGAAATTTGTTTTTGTGTATTCACACCTTGAGGACAAGGTGTCTATGAAGGGCAGGGTAATATGAGAGTCCTATTAGGAGTACGGGGGAATATTAGTTTGTTAGTATGAAGGGGTAGTATGGTTAATTAGTTAGGGTGAGTTGTTATGTAGGGAGAGAGAAGGATATCATGGATAATTGTATTTTGGTAAGGAACTTGAGAGAGTTCTTGGGGGAGAGATAGCCCTCTCGAAAGACTATCGGTTCTTCTTAGGTTCTTCTATTCGGGTACCTAACAAAGAACAGTTCACTGAGCAAGAGGTTTGGCTAGCAGTATGTGATCTTGGTACCAACAAATCCCCAGGCCCTGATGGATACACTGGCCCTGATGGATACACCGTTGAATTCTTTAAAAAATTTTGGAACATTCTCAAACTTGATATTACGAGGGTGTTCCAAGATTTTTTTAGAAATGGTGTAATCAATGCAAGCCTTAATGGAACATACATTTGCCTCATCCCAAAGAAATCTAACGCTCGCACTGTGGGGGATTATCGGCCTATTAGCCTCACCACTTGTCTTTACAAAGTTGTGGCCCGCGTTCTTTCCTCAAGACTCAAAAAGGTCCTCCCATCCACCATCTCGAAACAACAATCAGAAGGGCGACAAATCCTAGATGMCTCCCTCATTGCCAACGAGACTGTGGAAGAATGGAAACGGAAGAAGCAAAGAGGGGTGATCATCAAACTTGATATAGAGAAGGCTTTTGACAAAGTAGATTGGGATTTCCTTGATGTTATCCTATGTGCCAAAGAATTCGGTGCCACATAGAGAAAGTGGATGAGAGGATGTATCTGTAATACCAATTTCTCTATCATCATCAACGGGAGACTGAGAGGTAAAATTCGTGCTACTCGGGGTCTAAGGCAAGGCGATCCTCTTTCACCTTTCCTCTTCATATTGGTGGTTGATTGCCTTAGCCATCTCCTCACACAAGCGGCCGATTTGGGTTTAATCAAGGGTTTTTCTACGGGATCTGATCCACTGCACATCCACCACCTCCAATTTGCCGATGATACGATACTCTTCTCCTTAGATGAGGATGAAGCCATCAAAAACCTTTTTCAGATTGTAAAGACCTTTGAAGAAGCATCAGGTTTAAATATCATCCTTACTAAATCTAAGATTCTTGGCCTTAATATAGAAGTGGAGCGTCTAAATTCTATTGCTACAGTTTATGATTGTAAGGTTGGATCATGGCCAAATTCCTACTTGGGTCTCCCCCTCAATGCTAATCCAAACACAGCTTCTTTTTGGGCCCCTGTGATTGAGAAAATTGAAAGGTGTCTTCATTCTTGGCAGCACTCATTCGTTTCTAATTTACCTACGTATTATCTCTCTCTTTTTGCCATGCCTAATAGGGTTGGACATTGAGAAGCTTCGCAGAAACTTTCTTTGGAGAGGTGGTGATGAATCAACAACCATGCACCTTGTCAAATGGGACAAAGTCCTGTGCCCAACTGATCAAGGAGGTCTCAGGTTACACGGACTTCAAGCCAAGAACCGAGCACTCCTTGCAAAATGGATATGGCGATTTAGAGTCGAAAAAACAGCAGTTTGGAGAAGAATCATCGAGGCTAAATACACCACAGAAGCCTTCAACACTAAGCCGGGATCCAAGTCTATAACAATTACTCGCGGACCATGGAGGAATATTTACAAACAGAGGCGCCTTATCTTTGACAGAATTGCTTCCAAAGTTAGAAATGGGGCATCTACATCCTTTTGGTATGACCATTGGCTGATTGATTCCCCATTGGCTTTAGATTTCCCTAGCCTCTTCTCCCTATCCCTTCGAAAAACAGCCTCTGACAAAGAGATATGACAAAGAGATATGGAACTCAGACCTCAATTTTTGGGATTTGGGCTACAGGCGCTTTCTCAAAGAGGAGGAAATTACAGAATGGGCAACACTTTCTAGTCAACTAGAATCCACCCACCTCCTTGATGGGGAGGACTCTTGGGTTTGGCCATTAGACAGAAATGGTCCCTTCTCCATCATTTCTCTTCTCACTGACATGGCTCGAAAGAGATCTCTCATGCACAAGCCATTTGGAAAGATCTATACCCAAAATGATGTAAACCAAATGAGAGAGAATTTTATGGATTGAAAAAACTACTCAACAAATGAAGACCGCAGCCCCTTTYATAGAAGAGGGCTAAAGACATTTAACAAGAACTAACTAATAACAGCCAACCAACTAACTAAAAACAGCCAACCAACTAACTAATAACAGCTAACCAACTAACTTCAGCCTTTAACTAATAACTAATAAAACTAATGGGTTGGTAATTACATCAGTTTCCTTCCCTCTTGAAAGAAAACTCGTCCTCGAGTTTAAATGCAGTAGAGTTAGAAGGTTGTGAACAATCTTTAATATGGAATTTTGCCTTTCCTTGTGGTTCAAAAATACTCCAATTGAAAATGTCCTTTTTAACTCATCCAA